GATAAAATCAATTTAAAATCACTTTAAACCTTGCCACCATCTCAAAAACAGTTTAAAACATGCTTTAAAATCGAAGGGCTTTACCATGATTTACTTACCTCACTCGCACAGAACAGAAGGCTAACCCAAGTGCTACGGTGACAGAACAATCAAAACCTAATCACAATATCCAAGAATTAATACCGTATTACCACAAATTCACAGGGAAATCATCTTTAGCACTACCCCTAATCACAATGCTATTTCTATCAATCTCCACATAACCGGACATCTCCGAACTTATCCTTATATCACAAACTAAACATTTAAATCTCCATTAATTATTGGCTCTCGGTGTGTGAACAGTGCCCGTGAACAGTACCCCGTGAACAGTAACTTCAACTTCCGAAATTGGCGAAACAATAACTAATCTCACAGGATTTTTCTCCAAAATCACAACAATAATCATAACAAGCTAATTTTCTACTTAAACCACACTTAAAACATAGCTTAAAGCTACCAAAATTTCCCCAACCTCACGGGCAGCACATGGAGGGCATAGCTTTGGCAAACCACAACTCACACACACGGGATTTTCACACAAAACATCACAGCAATCAATTAGCACTCAATCACAAAATTTTCACTTGAATTAATGCTTAAATTTTGTCCTAAAGCTACCGGAATTCCTCCCCCATTTTCTACAGAATTTTGGACATCATAGGGTAGCAATTTAACGGTAATTTGGACTTAAATATAGCTGTCACATACCAGGAAATCCAGCCAAAAACCGGAGCTGCAGTTGGGGAAGACCAGTGGCAGTGCAGGGGGGGAAACTCACGGTTCTACCAGAAATTGGAAGGGAATAAAGCAATTAAAGTAAACCCAACCTAAATCAAGGTTAAAGAGAGGGATTCATGGCTAGATCTTACCAGAAAAGCCGAAGGATCCACACCCAGCAGAACCCGACGAACAAGGGAGGAAGGAGCAGAGCAGATCCGGGATTTCTAGGTTGAGAGGGAGGATTCTAAGCCCCAAATCTCGTGGTTTAACAAGAAAAGAAGAGAAATTCAAGCTTTTTGCCGAGTTTCCCAAGGGAAACTATCGGCAGCTTGAAGGGGGGGCTGGTCGGGTGCAGGGGAGAAGAAAAGAAGAGCAGATGTGCGGATAAGGAAGAAGAAAGAAAGAAAAAGGAAGACAGCTGATCCTTATCCTAATTTTCTTTCTTTTTAGTCCCCCAACTTTTGAAAATTTGACTATTAAGCCCCTCAATAACATTTTCTCACACAAAGGTCCTTAACTTAATTGATAAAATTCCCAAAATTTTGGGATATTACAATATATTATTGGGACCAGTTTCGATCTCAATAAGGTACAATAAGCACTTTTCCCACCTGTTGCCTTATCTGACTTCTAATTCGTTTCGCTCTCATTTTGAACCGAGAGATTTCAAATGTTTACGTGACAAAAAATCAACCATGACTAAATAAAGTAAAATTTCTATGTTTGTGGCTCTTAAAGGACACGACACAACCTTAAAATTAATAACCTTATACCTATGGATTTATAATTTTGCAATGATGTCACCTCCTAGTACTGTTAAACAATTTTTGGTGGCCAATTGATGGTTTCGAGGTTGGGGGGGGGGACTGTAGTGTTCATGTGCATGCAATTGGATTTCGTAGCAATGGAATTGGGGCACGGGAGGGTAGTGATGTCCTTAAATGAAAAAAATAAAAAGGTGTACTGGCAGAAGGTTCTAGATTATGAGCTATATTTAGACCAAAACCAATCCCAATATTCATTGGCTCTCGGCTTCCAAAGAGTAATACGTACAGACTGAAAACAATCTATACATATTAATTTAAATAATATTTTATCCCTAATTTTTATTATTTAATATTTATTTTTTAAGAGAAAATATTTAGATCGGTTTTGATTTGAATATTAATTGTGTGGTTGCATTGTACATTGGCGCCAACAATATTTAATATTTATTTTTTACAGAAAAAATGTTTAGACTATTGTCGGTCTGAATATTAATTGCGCGGTTGCACTGTATGTTGGCGCCAACAATGTATGGACCTTTGTTGGTATGAATATATTGATTAGTGGGTTTGGTACCGCCTCAATATATCCAGACCGATTTCAGTTTGAATATATATTTATACAGACTGACAGTTATCGGTCCGTTATGGTCGGTTTGAAACACTCATTTTTCTAGTAGTGAAAGAAGAGGAGAAAAGAAGAGAAAGAAAGAAAAAAAGATGAAGTTGCATCTTAGAAGATTACATCCTAGATGAAGACCGCATCTAAGAAAGAAGGAAAGATGAAGACCACATCTCGCAAAAGATGGATGAAGACCACATCTTAGAAGTCACATCTTAGATGAAGATTGCATCTAAGGAAGAAGAAGAGATGAAGACCGCATCTTAGAAGTCACATCCTAGATGAAGATTGCATCTAAGGAAAAAGGAGAGATGAAGACCGCATCTCGCAAAAGATAAGATGAAGATCGCATCTTAAGAGTCACATCTTAGATGAAGACCACATCTAAGGAAGAAAGAGAGATGAAGACTGCATCTCGCAGAAGAAGAGATGAAGACCGCATCTCGCAGAAGAAGAGATGAAGACCGCATCTCATAGAAGAAGAGATGAAGACCGCATCTCGTAAAGGATAAGATGAAGGCCACATCTTAGCAGTCACATCCTAGATGAAGATCGCATCTAAGGAAGAAGGAGAGATAAAGACCACATCTCGCAAAAGATAAGATGAAGACTGCATTGAAGGAAAAAGAAGAGATGAAGAACACATCTCACAAAAAGATAAGATGAAGACCGCATCTTAGAAGTCATATCCTAGGTGAAGATCGTATCTAAGGAAGAATGAGAGATGAAGACCGCATCTCGTAGAAGATAAGATGAAGACTGCATCTCGTAGAAGATAAGATAAGACCGCATCTTAGAAGTCATATCCTAGGTGAAGATCGTATCTAAGGAAGAATGAAGACCGCATCTCGTAGAAGATAAGATGAAGACCGCATCTCGCAGAAGATAAGATGAAGACTGCATCTTAAAAGTCACATCCTAGATGTAGATCACATCTTAAAAGTCACATCCTAGATGAAGATCGCATCTCAAGAAGAAGGAAAGATGAAAACCGCATCTCGCAAAAGATAAGATGAAGACCGCATCTTAGAAGTCACATCCTAGATGAAGATCGCATCTCAGGAAGAAGGAGAGATAAAGACCGCATCTCACAAAAGATAAGATGAAGATCGCATCTTAGAAGTCACATCTTAGATGAAGACCGCATTTTATAAGTCACATATTGAATTGAAGATCACATTCTTAGAGAAGTAGAAATGAAGATCACATCTCAAGGAAGATGATGAAGCCTACACTTATAATTTGTTTTCCAAGCTTAAAATTGGGTTATTCTTTTATTCTTTACTTTTCTTTTTTTACAAAAGGAAAAGTAAATAGGGGGCAACTGTTATAACCCAATTTTAATTGGAGCTAAATGATAAAACTAGAGGTCTATCGACTATTTTTGGTAAAAAGTGAAACTTGAAGTGCTAAAAGGAGGAATCAACAAAACGACGTCGTTTTGCTTGTAGGTGGAAATAAACAACTCTAGCCACCCAAGACTCATCCCGTTGCTCTACCCCCAACCTTTCTCAAACAAAAGAAAATCACAAAAATTCCTTGGCTTATCCCTACATCTACTCAAGTTTTGAAGAAATTTTTGGAAATTGAAAGTCATCAATAAGAGGCACAAAAGAAGAGTTTGAAATGGATTCAAAGTGGGGAGTTCCAAACACAAAAGGTATGAATCTAGACTTGAAAAGGGGTAAATGAGGGGAAATCTAAGAAATACAATTCCAAATAGGATTGGGTTGTTATCTTAGGGATTGGGATTGAGTATTAGAAGCACATTAGGATTGGGTTTTTCCCTTTATCTATAAAAAGGGGGCTCCTTTGGTTTTAGGAGGACATTCGAAAATTGAGGGAGAAGGGGAGAAATCTGAGAATGTGAAGCAAAGAAAGGAAGAAATCCTGTATTTGAAGTTTACAGCAAATAAATAAATTGGCTTTTCTCCATTACAGGTGTGTTTTTTTTATATGGAAGAATTTGGATCTTGAGTCTTAATTTTTTGCATCTGTTTTTTTTTTTTTTCTTCACATCTTTTGTTTCTTGGTTGTTATATGTTTGGGCAGCTTCACAAACCTACAATGTAGAGATCTTCAACTGCTTCAATACTTGAAAATCTCGAAGATGTTTCCTCGAGGAAAATACTCCGATGCTTAAGTCAACAATACTCAATATTCTAGAGAGAGAAACTCTCAATGAGTAATTGTAGAGAGAGAAGCATAGTGAAGTTAATACCTTGAGTAGAGGTAGTTGGGGGTATTTATAGCCCTTAAGTCTTGACACAAGACTACGCATGTAAACCTTTGATTAGCCCACGTGCATGCACCCATGTGGGTATGTTTGTACTAGTGTATGGAAGTCTTTTCATCTTGGGCTTATGGATAAATGATTGGGCCTATTGTGCATGGCTCAGGTTGAATGTTGGGCCCATTCCCAACATTACTCCCCCCTAAGCGTTCGGTTGACGAACTAGGTTGAATGTACCCGTGGCCCAACGTTCGACCTGGAAAATAGGGTCTACAATCTTTGGATTTTATGAACGACCTCATTAACGGCCGAACTGAAAGATCATGGCATAGGATACACACCCAAATGTTGAGGTTTGACTTGAATGAGCTGTGATGTATTCGAGTTAAACCCTAGGTGAGAAAGCCTTTACGAAAAAGTTTGCACTTGGGTGACCTAGACATAGAACGACCTCATCTACTAGAGTTTGGATAAGGCATCTATGACTAGAGTGAGCTCATATGCTTGATTGTGAAACGAGCAATCCGATATTGCGACAATCTTACTCAGGTGAATTTAGCGCATTAGCGAGCTCAACAAGCTCGTAAAAGGCAAACTCGCATAATGAATTTCCAACTTTTGCGTGAAGTGGGTTTAGAAAGAGATGAAATCTTTTGGTGAGGCGTGTGTCACATACGAGGTGTTACGTGGTGAGCTTGCCCGCGTCAATGTGAAGATGAGCGAACGCATGACAACCTTAACCCATGACAATCTGAATTTTCCAAATTTTAAAACAATACAAGTCTCTGAGGAGATGTGGTCGAGCTCATCTACTTAATTGTAAAGGTGAGCTAGTGCACAACGACCTTGTCAAAGAGGAGATTTGTTATGGTCTCAAACCTCTGAGGAGATGTGGTTATGAAACAAAGTTAATATGTAATGAGCTCAAAATTTAAAACCAAGTAGATCTTTGAGGTATGGAAGAAATATGAGGAAATTTGTTACGACCTAAACCTTAGGGATTTTTCAATATTTAAAAAATGAAGCAGATCTTTAAGGAGATATGGTTGATATCCCTTTGCCAATGGATATCTCTTTACCTTCCCCGCAATAAATGCTGGCTCAACATTTGAAGAGACGTGACAACTAAAGCTGGTGGACACTGCACGATAAGCTTTAAACAGCTACCACATGTGGGGTTTTAACTGGCGCGTCAGGAACACACGTACAACAATTAAAGCTGCATTTTCTATTTTAGAAAAGGGAAAAGGAAGCAATTGTGTACCCATTTTCTGTTTCTCCTCCATTGTGTTTTCTGTTATTTTTTGCAGTAGAGGTCCTTGAAGTTTTTGACATGAAGTTCTAAAATTACAACCACAAAAGGAATTTTTGCAATCAATACTTTGGTAAAAATGGAGTTTTTTAGAGAACTTAGAGAGCTTCGGGGTAACCAGGGGAGGGAAGAGGAAGAGGGTGCGATTTTAGTGGAACCCATTACCATGATAGTGCCACCGAAGCTATAGGATTTGCTAGAAACTATTACACCAGAGAGTAGCACAAGCTCAAGCGCAGGTGGGCACTCTGACAACCACCATTCTACAGCCTCTAAAGGCTCATCTTCAAAGAGGACGCCCAGTGAGGTAGGAGATGGGAGGGAAGATGCTAACAGCCCTTCCATGGTGCCCGTGGAGGCAAATGTACCTATGTTTGCAGAGTGGGAGAGTAAAACCATTGGTGGCAGGTTCGGCAATATCTGCAAAGCACCAAAAGATTTGCCCGCTGGATTTAGGTTTAAGGCGGCACTTCACCATGATGTAGCAGATAATGCCGCCTCTATCAGAGGATACAAAAAATTGGAGGAGATGGTGAGGCAATATCAAATCCCCAAAACAATTTTGATACGAACTAGCATGAAGAATGAAAGGGCATGCTCAGTGTTTAGGACTAGATGGGTGCTAGTGTACGTGGACCATTTTGGTGCCGGTCTACGTTTCCCTCTGCCAGGCTGATTTTTGATGTTTTGGCAGAGTACGAGCTGGTCCTAACGCAGCTGACCCCCAACAGCATAAAGTTTGTTATAGGATTTATGTTGTTGTATGCGAGGTTGGAGATACCCGTAAAGGCGATAGTCTTCAAGTTGCTGTTCCAGTGTTATTATGCCTTTCCACTAGCGGGACAAGGTGGTACTACGTCTCCGGGAAGGAGAAGATGATGCTTTTTATGAACGTAAGGAATAAAGTAGTGAGGTGGAAGAGACAGTTCATTTTTGTTCGTGACACGCGAACAAAGAAGATGAATAACAAGCTCACTGCCCGTATTTTTGAGTGGCATGTTCCAAACACGCATGTGAACTATCCCCAACTGACTCCTCGCGATGTCGACCTAAAAAATCAACTGCTAGATTATGTTAGGGTTGAGGGATTAGTGGATTTAAAGGCCCTGGTTACCCCCAAGCAGCTCGTTGTGTTTGGGTTTGTTGACATGCAAAACCACTATACTGAAGGTATATTTCTATTCTATACTGTGAATTCTAACCAATTTGAGTCATATGTATTTGTTTGTGCAGAAAAAATGAGTAATGTATTAGAGAGGCAACGTCAACGAGCTCAAAGCTCGCAAGGTCGTGGGGCGGGGTCCAGCTCGCAAAGGTAGACTCACTTTGATGAATGATCGCCTGTGGCAATGGGGCATAGTTTGTCACATAGAAGTTTGAGCTCGACATCAAGGCCTCATGCCGTACAGAGAGCTAAAGTGGCACCTTGTAGCTCACAAAGGCGAGCTTGTGACGATTCAGATGTTGAGGATGACGTGCCGCTTATTCAGTGTAGAACAAGCTCAAGCACTTAGCCCACCCCAACTGCTGCAGCTCACCCGCTTAGCATGCCCTCATTTTCTGCATGCGATGTTGTCGAGCTATTGGCCACATTTGCAACTGTGATGGGTCCCCGAATTGCATACCCTGAGGGCTTCAGTTACATTAAAACTAACTGCCATGCCGCTATGGTGTAGGGTATGCAAAGTTTTGTTCCCCCGGCAGATCAACAACGTGTAAAAGCGCATATTCAACAACATGAGGGCCATGTTGCTATGTTGAAGTTGATGGACGTAAATACTTTCATCAAGCATTTGTATTATTATACCTTCTCAATTTTGTGTTAGAAATTAACAATTGAATTTATGTGGCAGGCGTTCAGCTACATGGTTGCACTTTTTGAGTGCGAACAGGGGGCACACAGGCAAACTCGTGAGCTCAATGACAGTTGCAAACAATTGACTTCTGAAAAGGCAAGCCTGGTGGACGAGGTCAACTACTTGCAAAGCTCCAAGATGGCCAATCGAGCTGCATCAGCTAAAAGCCGAGCTAACGAGTTGGCTAACAATGTAAATGAGCTGAAGGAGGAGCTGCAGAAGGTTCAAGTAGAAAAGGAAAGTAGGATTCACACAACGAAGGATGAGGCCAGCCGTGTTGAGGAGCATGCAAAAAAGGCAGAAGCTGATAGGGATAAGGCTTTGAACGAGTTAAACTCCCTACAACAAAAGGTGACCGAAGCCAACCAAAACATTGCTCACGCTGAAGAGGGGTTGAGAAAAGCTAGAAGTTCTCACCAACACTCCATAAGCATCGCCCGAGCTCGAAGAGCAGAGTGGTATGTTGGCTCGGACATGTTCCCAAATGTCGTGGCCATAGTGTCTCTAAACACTACCATGGAGATCTACAACGAGATCCATGGGAAGGTGTTATGACACTGCCTTGACTTCCCCATCGGCGAGCTGGCGTTCTTCGAAGGGGAGGAAAAGGATGAGTAGGGTAAAAGTCTTGCTCCCCTTGTTGACACGACAGTGTGATTGAGATGGGAGCTGAACGAAAAGGAAGTGCTGGTGTGGCCTCCTTCAGTCTTAGAGGAAGGAGAGGATCCGGAGGGTCTACCTAGGTTTGACTCATGGGTAGATGGGCCACCCGAGGTGGAAGCTGAACCTTCCAACACTCCTCCCTCTTCTCAACTCGTCACCAAGCCAACTCGCACTTCTAAAGCTCACTTCTCTCTTGCTCATGCTGATGCATCTATTCCTATCGATCTGACGGATGATTAGCCTTAGGTTTGTGTCTTTGTTTTGTAATTTTTTTGTGTATTGATCAAACGACCTCTTTGAAAACTTAATCATCACCTGAATGTACTTGAACATATACATTTTTTTTGTAAAGAATTACCATTTGGGAGATATTTTATGAAACTTCATATTTATTGAATTTGTGTACAATTTACATATTCTGAATATGTTGCAAGATAATATACACACTAACTATAATATTTTCTGAGATTGTGTATGTTCCAAGTGAATGGTAATTAACAACCTTGTGAATTTGCTAACAAATAAGATCCAAGTCGTTTAATATGAATGACCATGTAAGGACCCTCCCAATTAGGTGCGAGCTTATCCATGTGTGAATAAGCATTAGTGAGCCTAGCTTTGCATAAAACCAAGTTGCTAACTTGAAATTGATGAGCACAAACTCTTTTATTATAAAATCTAGCGACGTGATTCTGATAAGCCATGTTTTTCATCCGAGACACCTCTTTGACTTCCTTTACTAGGTCTAGGTTTTCTCTTAGGAGCTGCTCATTATTAGTATCATTGCATCGGGTTGATCTGCTGGGCGACAAATCGATTTCGATAGGAATTATGGCCTCAGTTCCATATGCTAGGGAGGATGGGGTTTCTCCTGTAACTAAGCTGGGCGTAGTACGACATGACCAAAGTACTCTACTTAGCTCGTCTACCCAATTGGAGTGTGCAGCTAAGATATAGGTTTTAAGGTCGCGCAAAATGATTTTATTAGTTGACTCTGCTTGTCCATTTGATTGAGGAGTGTAGAAGGACGTCAGAGTTAGCTCGATGCCATAGTCATTACAAAATGACCTGAGCACTATGGCTCGAAACTGAGGACCATTATTAGTGATGATTCATTTAGGAATGCCAAACCTATACACGAACAACTTGGCTAAGTCACAAATTGTGTGTGCATGTAAGGTATAAATGGCTTAAGCAATTAAAGAGTACCTGCACAATATTGAATTGAATAGGAACTCCTCTATCTTCTTTTCGGTTGTCGTGGACAACGATTTGGCTTCTATCCATTTAGTGAAGTAATCCATAGTAACAATGAGATGTGTTCAGCCTCTCTTGCCCTTAACAAAAGGACCGAACTGGTCTACTCCCCATTGAGCGAAGGGACAAGGTGATGTAAGAGACGATAGCATCTCTCTTGTATCAAAAGAGATGTTTATGCTAAACTCAGAGACAAATATGAAGTTTTGGTAAGTTTCAAGATGAGCTCATATACTTGGCATGTGAATGTCGTTAGCGTTGAACTGGCAGGTTAGATATTTTTTAACGTAGCTCTATGCATCCTCAACCATAGTAGGCCAATAATACCCATGCCTTAGAATTTTTTGAGCTAGGGTTTTTCCTCCTATATGTGTGCCACATACTCCTTCATGAACTTCTCTTACTACATACTCAGCTTCATAAGGAGTGAAACAACGTAGTAGGGGCATTGAAGCTACTCGTTTATATAACTGATCATTAATCAAGGTGATATGTGCCACCCTGCACCTAATTAACCGAGCATCAAATGGATCCTTAGGCAATTCACCATTCCACAAGTATTAAGTACAAATCCTTCATTTTAGCGTTGAAATCAGCTCGTCGATTATCTGCCCTCGGTATCTTGTCAATCTAAAATGAGATAAAGCCTGATTTCAACCTATTGACCATTGAGGTGTAACGACCGAGCTATGGGTCTCTCATATAACAACTTCCATTCACTTGGTTCACTACGAGCTGAGAGTCACTAAAGACTCTTATGCTCTACGCTTTCAACTCAGACGCTAACTTTAGACCGTAAATGAGTGCTTCATATTCAGCAGCATTATTCATTGTCTGAAATTTGAATCTCAATGCATGCTTGGATTTAAAACCATCTAGGCCTATTAACACTACCCTTGCCCCTGATCTTTCAACATTTGCAGCCTCATCTACATACAAGGCCCATACCGAGTATGACGATGTGGTTTCTTCTATAGCCACCGGGTGGCATTCCACTAGCAAATCTACCAAGGCTTGGCCTTTAATGGTTGTGCGTGGTTGAAATTTGAGGTCGTATTCACTCATCTCAACCGCCCATCCAATTAGTCAACCAGAAAGTTCCAACTTCTGCAATATCTTCCTCAATGGTAGGTCGGTGTAGACAATAATCTCATGAGCTTGGAAGTAGGCCCTTAGCTTTCGAGCAGTGTAGACGAGTACGAAAGTAGCCTTTTCAGCAATCGAATAATTTCGTTCTGCACCTTGTAAAACTTTGCTTGTATAACAGATGGGTTTCTAATGTTATTTTGCTTCCTTAACAAAACTGAGCTAACTGCCTTATCTGTGATCCCTGGATACAAGTACAACTTCTCTCCTTCATCAGGCTTAGAGAGCAAGGGTGGTGATACCAAGTATTGTTTGAGGTCATTGAAAGCCCGTTGGCATTCATCAATCCATTGGAAGTTTTTGGGCTCTTTCAAAGCTTTGAAAAATGGGAGGCATTTCTTAGCTGACCTAGCAATAAATCTGTGCAGGGCAACTAGGCGACCTGTCAGACATTGCACATCTTTGACTGATATAAGAGGTTCCATTTGCTGAACGGCCTGAACCTTGTCTGGATTTACCTCAATCCTTTTCTTGGACACCACATAGCCTAGAAATTTGCCTAATTCTATAGCAACTGTACATTTCAGGGGATTCGACTTCATTTGTGCTCAATGTAGGTTTTGAAATGTTTCATTGATGTCATCGATATGATCTTCAGCTCGTACACTAGTGACAATCATATCATCAACATAAACTTCAATATTTTTGCCGATCTAAAGTATAAATACGACCTGAAGTATAAATACGACCTGAACTAACTTCTAATATGTTGCACTAGCATTCTTCAGGCTAAACGGCATCATGACATAACAGTAGATGCCGTCCACTGCATAAAATTCCATTTTCTCTTGATCATCCAACCAAAGTTGAACTTGGTGGTATCCCGAGCTGGCATCTAAAAAGCTCATGCGTTTGTGACCTACTGCTTGCTCAACCAACTTTTCCACATTAGGCAAGAGGTGTGGGTCTTTAGGACATGCTTCATTCAAGTTCGTGAAACCAATGCATATTCTCCACTTGCCATTGGGTTTCTTGATGAGCACAGGATTGGACACCCATTGTGAATAATCAACCCGCCTGATAAAACCTGCCTATAATAGCTTTTGTATCTCTTCATCTATAGCAGCTTGCTTCTTAAGGCCAAAAAGGTGGCGTTTTGAATCACTGGCTTTCTGGTGGGGTCCGTACTAAACTTGTGGACTGCAAATTATGTTGGAATTCCAAGCATTTCATCTGTTATCCGTGCAAAAACATCTTGGTTGGCCTTAAAAAATTCTAAGAGCTCTATCTTTTTTTCCTTTGTGAGCTTAGTTCCAATTTTCACATTTTTTTTTTTTGTTCATTGGGGTTTAAAGGAACTGTCTTTACTAGCTCTACTGGCTCAGCCTTCTACTCCATGTTCTCAAGTCGATGATCTAGGTCTGAAATGCTCATCGTCTATTGACCTAACTGACGTGGCCTAGAAACCTCTGAAACAAAGGCCTTGGGTGTCGTTGCGAGCTCAACCTTTTTAAACGTGTCCTAATAGCAGGCTTTGGCCATTTTTTAGTTCCCTTTGAGCACTCCTACCCCTTAAAGAGTTGGGAACTTCATACAAAGGTGTGGTTGAGAGATGATAGCCTTCAATTCGTAGAGTGTAGCTCTTCCAATTATAGCATTGAAAGCTAATTCCATCTTAACCACCAGAAAGTTCATTGACGCCATCTTAAACTGTGGTTCAGTACCCACGTAGATGGGAAGTGTGATTATTCCCTCAATAGGGACGAGCTGATTGTTGAATCTATAGATTGGCCCTTCATATTTCCTCAACGAAGCTGGGTTGAGCTACATTTTTTGAAAGCAGCCTCAATACAAAATATCTGGAGAACTGCCCATGTCAATAAAGACTTTGTTGACATTATGATTGCCTATATGGACTGTTGCCACAAAAGGATCGGCATGGGGCATCATAATGTCGGGTTCTCCATTTGGTAGTCTATAGTCAGCAAGACTAAACGTGATTGGTGCATTTCCCCATTCAGCATCTGCTTCCTCGAACGGTTGTTTAAGGGGCATGTTTGTGTTCACTATCATCACTTGGCAGGCATAGGCTTTACGACCTCAGGCACTTTGGCCTCCTGAATGCATGCCATCAGAAATCATGTTTATCATGCTTGAGGGTGGCGGTATTCCGGTATAACCCACCCCCCTTCTATCCTTTTGATTCTGAGTTGTGGTTCTTTGTCCTTATCCTCATCTATTGAACTGACATCCTCTGTATGCTCTACTAGGCTCGGAAGAGTATTGATTCTCTTGGTATGGATTCTAATTATTGTTGAGCTGGTACCCTTGTCCCTAAGGTCAGTTGTAATCTTGCATAAAATGAGTTTGACTGGGTTGTTGGGCGTAAGGTTTTTGGACATATCTTTCCAGTTTTCCATTGCAAGCTAAGAATTCCAACTCATCCTTTAGACTCTGACAATCATCTGTATTGTGGTCATACCCACGATAATAGTCACAATACTTGCTTCTATCTGCTTGTGGGTGATCATGTAACGGAGGTGGTGGTCTCTTGACCCAGTGCTGGATCTGTGCTAAGATTTGAGACCTTGACGAGCTTAGAGGAATGTAGTTGGCATATTTTGGGAAGAAAGGCAGCTTTCCCCTCTACTCGACAATTTTTTACTTTTTCTTATCTTCTCTTCTTTTTGGTTGTTTGTGCTCTTTACCTTGCTTATCGTCAACTCGTCGCTTGGACTATTGAAAATCTTCTGACAATATGAAGCTTGCCGATCTGTCATTCCCCTCGTTCCATGACTTTGGTAGATTTTCCAACAGGTCGTCTAAAAACTGACTAGGCTTAAGGCCTTGTAACAAAGCGGACAAGCAGATGGTGTCAGGGACATTATCAATGTCCAACGTGGCTTTGTTAAATCACTGCATGTAATCCTTTAAGGATTCTCCCTTTTTTTGATGAACCTGCATCAGCTTGGTAGTCGTGCGTTTTATTTCCCTTTAACTTGCAAACTTGTTTGGGAATAAAGTGGCGCGTTGGGTGTAAGAAGCTATGGAATGTCTAGGAAGCTTGTGATACCACTTTTTGGTGGTTGACTTCAAGGTTGCAGGAAATACTT